GTAATTTCTTTAGTTAAAGCAACATGTTTGTTAAAGCCCTTTAATTAAAGCTGAAAGTCTTCCGTTTCAATCACATCTTGACTTTTTAGAATTTAAAATCTACTGTTGTGTAAAGAGGCAAGACTACAAAAAAGTGTCATTATCTAAAAACTGATTGGCTCATTTGTATATAAATGCTTTTTCAAAGATTCCAGGTGGTTAACATCTCTTACCACAGTGGAGGAAATTGTTATTTGACTCCCTGCAGAATTTGTAAGTTGAAATTTATAAGTTGGAAAAATACCACACAAAGAAGGACCCAGCAGAAACATCTGTTTGTCTGTTTTGGTTGATATTCTGTCTCTCACCAATAAAATGAAACTACCATAAAAAAAATTAGAGACTGCTCCTTTTGTTGTAAATGAGCAAACGTAAAAATTTATCAGGGGATCAAATCATTATTTCACCGAATGTAAATTTTTGTCTGGAGCCTTTGGTTAAGTAGACTGCTTTAGCTTTCAGACACAGAGCAAAAAAGCTCTAATAAATGGAGAATTGCAGAGGATCCTCATCAAAAACAGGAATCTCTCTTTGCTGATTATACAGGTGCAAGTTTTTGACCATTGGGATCTGAATCTGACTTTTGTCCTTTTGTTTCACCGGATGTTTCCCATTTTAAATCTCATGTGAGTCTGTTTCCTTTACTCTCTCCACTACTGACCGAGTGTCCGCCCAGAGGGAATATTTCTGCTGGTTCCTTTTGTGGTTTTTGACGAAATGCCGTCCCTTTTTGAAATATGATTAATTCATAGACTGTTATTCAAACTGTAATGTTTGAATAGTTACTCCTACACAGCGCATTGGATTTTAAGTGCAAAGCTTTGTGTGCACCTTCAACAACAACAGCCACACCTGTGCACACATGTACTGACTAACTCTGTCCTCCTTTGTTGACCCGCAGCACCTGCAGCTCCATTGCAATCCAGGAATCCTGGTCATAAATAAGCACAGTTTTCACTATACATAGTTTTCATTGCATTTTTCTTGAGAAATTAAAAGTTCAAACAATGTCTTTTTTCCCTTGCAAATATATAAACAAAAATAATACAGACCAACGTGAATCAGCACTGTTAAAAGCCTGAGCAACACCCATGTCAGTTACATAACACCAGGCTGACTACCTAAGTGCTCCACCTAGTGGTGGCAGATTTTAATCACCAAAACTACACTGGTCATAGAGTAATTACTGAAGAGTGGTCACACATTTCAGATGGGACTGATCTCTACATTTTAAAACATTTCAGAAGGCCATTTTAGAGAAATATCTAATACCAATCCACCCTAGAGCCTTTGTCATAACAGTGTATGGTTAAGCATCAAATATTTATGCCAGTAAGACTCCTTCACTTTGTCTGATATTTTTGTTGTACTGTTTTGGTGGAGCTCCAGTTTATCAAATGACCACACCCTGTGGCCTGGAGAAAAGCATGAAATTGTTGTTG